CTTCTCCTGCCCCCCCCGCTGCTGCTGCTGCTGCTGCTGCTGCTGCTGCTGCAGGGGCGCACGAAGCGGGCTTCCTGCAAGACTCCCCGCGCTGCGTGTGGGCGCAGGGAGTCTGCAGCGCGTGGGGCTGCCGCGTTGCTGCTCGTCGTGGGCGTGTGGGGGTGTGGGGTTGGCAGCAGCAGCTGCTGCTGCTCGTGCTGCAGCTCGCGCTGCACCACTACGCCGAGGTCCTTTTTGCCCCTTCTTCTTCCCTTCTTCTCCAAACTTTTGCTGCTGCGGCTCCCCCTTTTGCTGCGCTTCTCACGGGATTTTGTTTTGTCCTCTCTTTGCCTTTTTTAAATTCTTTTTTGACTCTCTTTGCGCTTTCCCGACACGTTTTGATGCTTTTTCCACTCTTTTGCTACTCCTTCTTATCTCCTTTTGACTTCTCATTTGCCTCCTTTTCTTTTTTCTTTTTCTTTTTAAAATTCCTTTAATTGTCTTTTTAATTGTCTCCTTAATTGGTTTTTTAGTTGTCTCCTTTTGTCTTTTTGATTGTCTTTTTTTGTCTTTTTAATGGTCTCGTTTTGTCCTTCTAATTGTCCTTTTAATTTAATTATTGATTCTCTTTTTGTTCTCTTAGTGGTCCCTTTTTGTTTTCTTCTTTACTTCACTTGACGTTTTTGAATTTGTTGTCTTTTATCCTTTGCGAATCAGTCCAGCAGCAGCAGCAGCAGCAGCAGCAGGGTTGTGTCTGCTGTGCTGCTTCTCAGTCCCGCCGCCTGGCGCAGCAAATTCTGCGCGAAGCCTTCTCTGTTTACATGGGGATCCGATCCCCGATTTTGCTGCTGACGCTGCAGCTGCTGGAGGCCAGCACGGAGCAGCCGCAGCAGCAGCAGCAGCAGCAGCAGCAGCAGAAGCAGCCGCAAAAACAGCAGGAACTCCTGCCGCCTGAAACTTACAAGCAGCAGGTAAAACGCACGCGGAGCTGCTGCTGCTTCTTTTATCTCCTTTTTCCTTTTGTCTTTTCATTCTATTTTATTCTTTTTAAATTTATTTATTTTATTTATCTTACCTATTTTGGTTAAAAGGTAAAAGCTGCTTTTGTCTCTTTGCTGCCGCAGGCTGCAGCGGGATCCAACGGAGGCGGCAGCAGCCCCTCAGAAGCAGCAGCAGGTGCATCAAGGACACAAGCACCACAGCAGCAGCAGCAGCAGCAACTGCAGCAACCGCAGCAGCAGTTCGAGATAGTTAAGCAACGCAGCAGCAGCAGTACTTGTCGAAGCCCTCAAAGCAGCAGCAGCAGAACCAGAAGCAGCACAACACTACACCACTGCAGGGCAACAGCGGCTGCAGCAGCTGCTGCTGCTGCTGCAGCAGCTTCCTGCTACTCTCGCTTCTATGGTTGGAATGCGCATTTGCATATGTCTTCTCATCCCCTTTCTCTCTTTTGAATCCCATTTTGTCTTTCATTTTTATTATTCCCGTTGCTTCTCGCTGCTGCTGCTGCTGCTGCTGTTGCAGGCAGCGTGTTGCCGTCTTCGCTGGAGGCGACGCCGCGTTTCCCGGCGCCGCTGTCGCCGTCAAGCAGCAGCAGCAGCAGCAGCAGCAGCAGCAGCAGCGGGGCGGAGGCACTGCAGCACGCGCGTCTGACGGGCGCTGCTTACTTGCTGAACTCCCCCTCGATGATCCGGCGGCTGTGGGGGGCCCCACAGCTGCTGGCGATTTGCTGCAGATGTCTTCTTGCTGCTCTTTTGCTGCGGCTGCAGAGGCCTTCGCCGCAGCAAAGATTTGCTGCTTTCGCCAGCGCGCTGCTCACCCACAGAGAGGCCCTCGACATCCACCACAAGGACTACCAGCAGCACATCGTCCAGGTGCTGCTGCTGCTGCTGCTGCTGTTGCTGCAGTGCTGCTGCTGTGGTGCTGCTGCTGCGGTGCTGCTGCTGCGGTGCTGCTGCTGCTGCAGTGCTGCTGTTGCTGTGGTGCTGCTGCTGCTGCGGTGCTGCTCCAGCTGCGGTGCTGCTGCTGCGGTGCTGCTGCTGCTGCGGTGCTGCTGCTGCGGTGCCGCTGC